AATAAATGGGTTTACTTAATAATCCACGCGCACAATATCAAACTGAACACGAATTACATTGAAACTAGGCGCGAGGTCATTAGCTGCTACCGAGGGGGAGATATCGTCATACACTACTTTACCCCAGCTGATTTTCCAGAAGGCAACGCCCCGCGATATGACGCTTCAAAGGGCCCCTTTAATCGTTTTGAGTTCCAACAGGAATTTCTGCTACCGCGCCTTCTCCGCTCTGAACTTTCCGCATCTTACGAAGGATGAACTCGATCCACGAGCCGTTGTTTGCTCACGCGAGGGTGAAAGGCGGGCGAATGTTTGCCTTCTTCTGGGGTTCCTCGCTTCCTAATGTCTCGCCGAGATAGAGGCCGCGCGTCGTAAAGTGGACGGAAATTTTATTAGTATAATCGTCGCATTAACACCGAGGTCATTGCACACGCGAGAAAGCGAGTATTAAGAAAGAGCTGGGCGAGGGATGCGGAGGGTGTAAATAGCGGGGCGTGCCTCGGGTCGGTTGGTTGACCGGAGAGACGATCGCAGATAGAGGCGCGAGGACTGCGCAATGCTTTGTACCCCCCCTGCTGGAATTCCTCTGTATTAATTACCGGCTCGCTAATTACTATTTATTAGAGACTGGTGCGCACGCCACGTGGAGCCGAGTCGAGACTCGAGACGCGCCATTATCGCTTCGCTTCGAACGAGCACCTACGTCGTAGCGTCGTTTCAAGGCAACTTCGTTACGCCGTCGATTACATCTTGTACTGGCGCTGCAAGAACATTGAAGCGATCCCGTATCCGATCCTCTCGAGCATCCTTTAACGCGTATCGATCCCTTTCGTCCGAAACGTCTAGATTTTCCTTCATGTCTCATATAACCCATCACACATCTCGGAAAATTATATCGTATATTTTGCTGCGTTCGAATAATAAATGCATATTGCATATTCTTTTGTATTTTGACACAAAAGAGAGAAAGAGAGAAAGAGAAAAAGAGAGAAAGAGAGAGAGAGAGGACTTTTAAATTTCTAATAAACAAATAATTAAATTTATATAGCGAACATATTTTAAAGCTACGCTCACTTCCGCGTAGTTACTATCAAAGAAGAAAGTTTACGGCGGCGATAACGCGTGCCGTGACAAATTGCCTTTAACCTATTGCGCGTCGGCTTAAGGATGCAAGATACATCTCCGGCGATAAGTAAAACGAGCACACCAGCAACGAGAATATAATAGAACGCTTTTTCCACAATTTATAAAACGTTCAGGACGTTATAGGAGGAACAAGAGCATATAGTCTCATCGGCTATTAAATTCTCGCTTTGCGCAGACGAAATTGCCGTTCTTGAATCCGGTAGTATTTGCCTCACAATTGGCATGATCCGGCGGATTGAACACTGCCTGCTATTACTCGCTCGAATACGAAAACAATTTTCATTTTGTTATACATAGTATAATATAATATATATTAACTCGAAAACTGCACATTCAATTACAAAAGAATAATAAAAAAAAGAGTTAAAATAAAAAAACAATTAGATTTAACGTGATTAATTATCTAAATAAGATATAATAAGCTTTATATTTTAATTCTTTGACATAATATGCTAATTTAATCTCTATACTTCTGCTTGAGAAGATTATATTTAATGGATTTCTGCACCACCACTTTCTTGAATATTTTATTAGATCATATTTTATTCGTAACTCCTCATTAAAGGATAATACCGCATCAATTATCGATTCTCTAAAGTAGACTAATTATTGCATACATATAGCAATTAAGCATATAAAATAGCTTTATATATAATTAGAAATTGTACTAAAATATATTATTTTCGTAAAGTTTAATATTTTATATAAAAGTTACGACATACTTTTTTATTAATAATTTTTTGTTGG